TTTTCTTTACCAATTCACGTGCCGCCACCATCACTATGTTCTCATTCTCTCATCCAGAATCCAGTTTGGCGTGCCGCTCGCACGGAATCAGCTCATGCAGAAAAAGATGGCTGACATGTTGACGGAGATCACCATTGGCCTGCAGTCCTGTCTGCAGTTGGGAAGACTCATCGATGAGAAAAAGTAAGAACAATTGGGGACAGGCTGAGCGGTGCAGCGAGTTGACAAGCTGTGAGGCTCCGGTTCAAGAACCCCTGGACTAATTTCGGAATTATTTTTGGATGCATTTAATCGTCACACTTTGAATTTAACTACACCGCATAATATTTCGATCTCTCGCCCTGTTTTTCCTAGTGAATCCTTGCAACGGTCATCAAAGTGTGACACTACGTTCCACCTGCATGACGGTTGCATTGGCCAAAAAGCTTGGCTACATAGCCGCCTCGTAGTTCATTTAATTCCGGTCAGAGTCGGTTTGACGTTGCTTTCGAGCACGACTGAACCAAGCACGCTGGTCTGTTGACCAGGGCTGCCCCCGAGATGATCTCCATGCTGAAGAGGAACAGCTGCGGCAAAGCCCTGGACATTGCCCGACAGGCCAGAGACATGCTGGGAGGAAACGGCATCGCAGACGAGTACCACGTCATCCGCCATGTCATGAACCTGGAAGCCGTCAACACATATGAAGGTGTGTACTTAGGAATCATTTCAGAGTGTTCGGAAACAATCGGCGGCGGGATACTAATGGGCGGCTGATAAGTGAATGACTACCGTTGACCTGAACTGCCATCTCCCCACCCTCAGGTACGCATGATATCCATGCGTTGATCTTGGGCCGAGCCATCACTGGGCTGCAGTCCTTCACTGTGGACAAATAAGACGCCAATTCTGATTGCCGCTTGCCACCAACTGGAGTCTGCTTACTGTACACATCAGTTCTGTAATATGACTGTGTGGACTACAGAGATATTTTTGTAATTTGAGTGACCGCTTGTTTTTCCTCTTGATTTTGTTTCCACAAAATTACCGCACCAGGAGGCTTTCATGTCGACATCAGATTTGCTTTACGTTACTGATAGGAGATGCGGTAATTGAGCTCTCCAAATAGCAACTTCTGAAGTAGAACTGTGATCAATGGTTCTCCCAGACATGATTGATGATGCTGCAGCACTTTACTGGTTCTTTTCCCGAGATGATCGTGACTGCACGGTTTGCTCAAGGTCAAGTTTGCAGTAGCGATTTTCAATAAAAAAAGTATTTCATGGTTCATATTTGTCAAATGTCGTCCTGTGTGTATTTTGTTGTATGAGGACATGCCCAAAAGAACCTCAAGCAGTTGTGTTTTCAATACGTGCTCATTTGAGGGTCTTTATGCAAAAGCCATTTCATACATTTTCACAAGTACAGAGGCGTGGCATCAGTTTTCACAAGTTCAGGCCCTCCTGTGGAGTTTTCTCCGGGTACTCTGGCTTCTTCCCACTTTTTTATATTAATTAAAGGTTCTAAATGGTGCCGAGCGGCTGTAGTTTAGCCCACCACGTCGCCCCCCACCCCTCAAAAAAAGGAATGCTGCTCAGTGCTGCCACTTCTTTTTATTAAAGATTCTAAATGGGGCCGAGCAGCTGTAGTTTAGCCCACCACGTCGCCCCCCCCACCCCTCAAAAAAAGGAATGCTGCTCAGTGGTTCTTGCGAGGGAATTGCTCAAAAAGCAGCACTCGGAACAACCTTGCGCCCATGAGACGAAGCCTGAATAGTTCCCAAGCCAGCGGCTCGTGGCTAACTTGAGGGAATTAAGGGCGACATAAGCCCGTGCTGAGCAGAGGGCGTGTTGACGACGCGACGACAGAGCTGATCATTCACTGTCTCTGCTGGCTGAGAACCATCAATCTGCAACTCCCCAGCGGACATGCGTGGACCTGCCGTTCCAACAGAATGTGTTTTGCTTTGTTTTGTCTCATCAGATCGCCACAGCTCTTTTGTCCTTACGGATTCCGCTTCATGAACAGCAACTTGAAATATTCTGGGGGACTTCACGGGGAAGGAGCATCACTTGTTTTATCGGCGTTTGAGTGACAAAGCCATCAGACTAGAAACATCTTCTTCCCACAACCATGAGCAGATATAATTTCACCGTGTGGAACTCCACGGACGACGCGCACGCCTCCCCGTATTCCTTGGAGGAGCCCCTGTTCAAGCAGTACAAGCCTGTGACCAAGGAGCTGATCCCCCTGCCCAAGGCGGTGCTCTACCTGCTCATGGCAGCTCTGGTGGTGGTCGGCGTGGCATATGCCATTATCGGACATCTCATTAAGGATCTGGCCATGGATATCGCAGGTATGTTACCTATCCAATCATGTCAATGCCGACAACTTCAAACCACTATCACCATAATTTCGCAAATCTCTACTAATGGTCAGACCACACATTTAGGGATTAGTTCTACACATTTGTGACCAATCTAGAATGTCGAAAGTGGCTTGGGCTCTTTGACAATGTAATGTTAATGGCTGACCAAAACAAACAAATCCATTTGGGGGGTCTCCTGAGAAGTGATGGTTTTGGGGGTACGAGGAGTCCACCCGACTCCAGCGAATGTTATCAATTAAACTTTGTAATTACTGTAATCTATATCGCTGACTCCCAATCATCAAGTGCGCCATAGGAAATTCTTCCATTTCACTAAATAGGTCTGAAATTATTTTTTTATTTGCTCCAAAGTTGACATTTAAAAAAAAAAAACCTTCCATATTCAATTACACATCAATGTTTCACCATTTCAATAACTTTGCGAGTTTTGTTTCTGTGCACCCGGAGATGACTTACATTGACATTTTTTTTAAAATCAAGACACATTTGTCACTGAACAGAAATGACAATGAATGACTAAAACTTGAGGACCTAAATATTCAAAATTTTAAATCGAGACACATTTGTCATTGAACAGAAATGACAATGAATGACTAAAACTTGAGGACCTAAATATTCAAAACAATGATCTGTATTTGTATTTACGTACAGCACGAGTGCTTTTGCCATCTCTACCTAGGACCCTCCTGTATTAATCCCGACGTCGTGCCCTCTCACACTTGATGTACTCTGATATGAAGTCTTGATCTCTAATGTTCAGATTGCATGTTGGGCCCACCTGGTAATTGCACCCGGAGATGACTTACATTGACATTTTTTTTAAAATCAAGACACATTTGTCACTGAACAGAAATGACAATGAATGACTAAAACTTGAGGACCTAAATATTCAAAACAATGATCTGTATTTGTATTTACGTACAGCGCGAGTGCTTTTGCCATCTCTACCTAGGACCCTCCTGTATTAATCCCGACGTCGTGCCCTCTCACACTTGATGTACTCTGATATGAAGTCTTGATCTCTAATGTTCAGATTGCATGTTGGGCCCACCTGGTAATGAAGACAAAGACCAGGACAACAACTCACAAGGCCTGGCCACTCACCCGCCACCACACCCGTTTGCCCACAACGCCTTCCACGTGTGGGACCAGGACGACGTGGTCATCCCTCTGCCGCTAGACGACAGTCCCGAGACCAGCCCGCTGTTGCTGGCCACCATTCCCTACATCCCCTCTTTCTTCCCACACCTCCACAGCCCGACAAGTCAGAACTCCCCTGTGCTCCAAGAACAGGGAGATCAGAATGCGCATTGAGGATGATGATCGCGATCCTCGGGAAGACGCCGAGCCACCTTACACGGGGAGAGCTCATCAAAAGGACTCTGACATTAAACAATGAATTATGGAAGATGGTTTTTGCATTTGCATGCGATGTGTCAAAGCCTCGTGCATGCACACCGGGAGATCAAACAGCACGTGCGCTTGTCTTTTAAATCTGCAAAGGTTTCTGTGAATAATGCAACACTCAAGATGGCAGTTTGGCAAGGACTTGGGGGGAGAGCTCATCAAAAGGACTCTGACATTAAACAATGAATTATGGAAGATGGTTTTTCCATTTGCATGCGATGTGTCAAAGCCTCGTGCATGCACACTGGGAGATCAAACAGCACGTGCGCTTGTCTTTTAAATCTGCAAAGGTTTCTGTGAATAATGCAACACTCAAGATGGCAGTTTGGCAAGGACTTGGGAAAAAAAAAACTTGAGCAGAGTCAGTCAAGGAGAGGACAAGGACAAAGAGGATTAGAGAAGATCATCAGATCATTTCTGTGTGCCTGAGTTTCCAAGAGAAGAGGTTGAAAATGGCATACAGTATTGGAACAAATTGTCTGCCATTTGATGTCTTTGTACAGTCCAACCTCGTTTCAACGTACCCAGTTTACGTTTTTCACTGCGACAATGTTCACAATTCACATCAGTCATTTCCCATTTGCACCTTCAGAACGTAACTTTGTGAGTAGAGTATTGAGATTATTATGGTCGGTGTCATATTTTATGAGTCCCTGCACTTTGTTTGTATCACACGCTTGTTACTCTACTGGCCAGACTTGAACGTATATCGTGCCGACCACAGAATTCGGTCCGCACGTCAGCCAGGCGGCCATTCAAACTTTTAAAGTCATCAGTTGGCCGTCGTACACACTTGACTATGATGCTATTTGAAGTCGCTGGGGGATTAACCTTAAGACCAAGACTTAGGGAGTTCCAGGGAGTCCACTTGTACACAACAAGACTTAATCCCGGAGCCCGCACGGAAAACACTTCGGAGGTTTTCCCAAAGCACAAACCGATATGGACAAAAGAATTGGGACAGCAACTATTATGAACAAAAACAGAGATGCGCTCCACACTGGGAGGTCTCGCTACAAGATTTTGGTGCTCGTCTGTGGGGAATTTTTGCACCTTGATCCAGGTCAGGGACAGGGGGAATCAAGTGCTTCGCCAAGGCACGTGCCAACAATTTTTCAAAAGGAGTCCATGAGGAGTCTCATGTTTTGGGTCATATCAAGAGCAATATAAGTGACATGGGCCATCAGCATAACATCATGTACGCAAAGACACCACAAGTCACTCGACGTATCGTCACTCGAAACTGTCGGGAGTTTGACAGTTTGGAAAATGTTTATTATTCAAAAGGAACCTGCACAGTTGAGTTTAGTCTCGCAACACAGGATGGCGTCGGTTCCGAGACTACCGTTTTGCATTCTCGTGTATACACAAAAGCCTGTCACCTGATTTTAAAATGCCATCAAAATACAATTGTATTTCGTTATGGCAACAGTGACAGAGTGGGTCCAAAATCTAAAAGAGGTCTGTACCAAACTCAGGAGTCCAGTCGACAAATGGGGCTGTCGTAAACCATCTGCAGATTGACCTTGTGTCCCACCAGCTCTCTGATGTTGTTTATGCCGTATTTAATCATGGTGGGTCTGCGGGACAAACGAGAAGGCCGAGTGAGTAAGAGTTTACGGAAGAAGAGGGGAGTCACCAAATATGGATTGCGAGGAGACTCCCCCCCACTCCCCCTGTAGATGTGAACAACATACAGACATGTTGCTGAATGATCATCAGCAATTGGACCAATCCTTCTCAACCCCTCTTGAGGTTCCAATTAAGAAACAAACATGTCAGCAATGAATGCTTCATGGATCCGTTTACCTTTCCAGAGACAGCCCCCAAGCAATAACGGACACGTCTTCAGGGAGACCCATCGGCAGCAGCATCTCTGGTCTGAAGACACCAGAGTTCCCCACTTCCACCCACTTTTTTAGTCCTGTACGTGCGGAGAAACATCATATGGCATCCATAAATTCATGCGGCATTTGCAGCGAAATGTCATCCACTATCAAAATGATCACAAAAAAAAAAAAAAAAAAACAAAAAAAAACACACCTGCCCACAACGACAATGCCCTCTCACACTTGATGTACTCTTAACTGATATGAACTCGTGATCTCTAATGTTCAGATTGCATGTTGGGCCCACCTGGTAATGAAGACAAAGACCAGGACAACAACTCACAAGGCCTGGCCACTCACCCGCCACCACACCCGTTTGCCCACAACGCCTTCCAAGTGTACGTGGTCATCCCTCTGCCGCTGGACGACAGTCCCGAGACCAGCCCGCTATTGCTGGCCACCATTCCCTACATCCCCTCTTTCTTCCCACACCTCCACAGCCCGACAAGTCAGAACTCCCCTGTGCTCCAAGAACAGGGAGATCAGAATGCGCATTGAGGATGATGATCGCGATCCTCGGGAAGACGCCGAGCCACCTTACACGGGGAGAGCTCATCAAAAGGACTCTGACATTAAACAATGAATTATGGAAGATGGTTTTTGCATTTGCATGCGATGTGTCAAAGCCTCGTGCATGCACACTGGGAGATCAAACAGCACGTGCGCTTGTCTTTTAAATCTGCAAAGGTTTCTGTGAATAATGCAACACTCAAGATGGCAGTTTGGCAAGGACTTGGGAAAAAAAAAACTTGAGCAGAGTCAGTCAAGGAGAGGACAAGGACAAAGAGGATTAGAGAAGATCATCAGATCATTTCTGTGTGCCTGAGTTTCCAAGAGAAGAGGTTGAAAATGGCATACAGTATTGGAACAAATTGTCTGCCATTTGATGTCTTTGTACAGTCCAACCCCGTTTCAACGTACCCAGTTTACGTTTTTCACTGCGACAATGTTCACAATTCACATCAGTCATTTTCCATTTGCACGTTCAGAACGTAACTTTGTGAGTAGGGTATTGAGATTATTATTGTCAGTGTCATATTTTATGAGTCCCTGCATTTTGTTTGTATCACACTCTTGTTACTCCACTGGCCAGACTTGAACGTATATCGTGCCGACCACAGAATTCGGTCCGCACGTCAGCCAGGCGGCCATTCAAACTTTTAAAGTCATCAGTTGGCCGTCGTACACACTTGACTATGATGCTATTTGAAGTCGCTGGGGGATTAACCTTAAGACCAAGACTTAGGGAGTTCCAGGGAGTCCACTTGTACACAACAAGACTTAATCCCGGAGCCCGCACGGAAAACACTTCGGAGGTTTTCCCAAAGCACAAACCGATATGGACAAAAGAATTGGGACAGCAACTATTATGAACAAAAACAGAGATGCGCTCCACACTGGGAGGTCTCGCTACAAGATTTTGGTGCTCGTCTGTGGGGAATTTTTGCACCTTGATCCAGGTCAGGGACAGGGGGAATCAAGTGCTTCGCCAAGGCACGTGCCAACAATTTTTCAAAAGGAGTCCATGAGGAGTCTCATGTTTTGGGTCATATCAAGAGCAATATAAGTGACATGGGCCATCAGCATAACATCATGTACGCAAAGACACCACAAGTCACTCGACGTATCGTCACTCGAAACTGTCGGGAGTTTGACAGTTTGGAAAATGTTTATTATTCAAAAGGAACCTGCACAGTTGAGTTTAGTCTCGCAACACAGGATGGCGTCGGTTCCGAGACTACCGTTTTGCATTCTCGTGTATACACAAAAGCCTGTCACCTGATTTTAAAATGCCATCAAAATACAATTGTATTTCGTTATGGCAACAGTGACAGAGTGGGTCCAAAATCTAAAAGAGGTCTGTACCAAACTCAGGAGTCCAGTCGACAAATGGGGCTGTCGTAAACCATCTGCAGATTGACCTTGTGTCCCACCAGCTCTCTGATGTTGTTTATGCCGTATTTAATCATGGTGGGTCTGCGGGACAAACGAGAAGGCCGAGTGAGTAAGAGTTTACGGAAGAAGAGGGGAGTCACCAAATATGGATTGCGAGGAGACCCCCCCCCCCACTCCCCCTGTAGATGTGAACAACATACAGACATTGCGAGGAGACTCCCCCCCACTCCCCCTGTAGATGTGAACAACATACAGACATGTTGCTGAATGATCATCAGCAATTGGACCAATCCTTCTCAACCCCTCTTGAGGTTCCAATTAAGAAACAAACATGTCAGCAATGAATGCTTCATGGATCCGTTTACCTTTCCAGAGACAGCCCCCAAGCAATAACTGACACGTCTTCGGGGAGACCCATCGGCAGCAGCATCTCTGGTCTGAAGACACCAGAGTTCCCCACTTCCACCCACTTTTTTAGTCCTGTACGTGCGGAGAAACATCATATGGCATCCATAAATTCATGCGGCATTTGCAGCGAAATGTCATCCACTATCAAAATGATCACAAAAAAAAAAAAAAAAAAACGACAACGCAAAATACAGCCGTCGTGTTCATTTTCTCAGAGCAGCGGTGACAGTCGGCAAGAGATGGAAGGAGGAATACCTTCATGGTAACTGAACACCTCCATGCTGGGCTCTGTGTAGGGGTTGTAGGCAGGCTTGAAACGTAGCTTAGTAATTCCTAAAAAAAAAATAAAATATGAAAGAGTGTGAGAAAATTCTGCATTTTTGGCTCCGTTTGTCCTTCAGCGTCAGATGAATCTGTACATTCAAACCTAGTTTGGTGAAGAACTGATGCAGGACACCCATGAGGTCCCCCAGGGTGAGGCCATAGTCGGCCACCACACCCTCGATTTGGTGGAACTCAGCCAGATGGGTTGCATCTAATGTCTCATTCCTGAAGACCCGGTCGATGGAGAAGTATTTGACGGGGGTGAACTTCTCCTGATGAAGAACAGGCACAGTGAGTCCCTGGCCGCGCGGGTGCTATACATGTCACGACAATGGCCATGTGACCCAAGAGCATGGCTGAGGTGCTACTTATGGACTCTCTACTTGTCAGCGCTTTCCAGGAAGTGTTTGAACCGGAGTGCAAGGGTTGCTCCAGTTTAGCTGCCAAGAGCTTTAGCGAGGTCAGTCGGACGCATGGCATGGGATGCGAGCAGGTTAAGTCTGGGTGCACTGGAGCAAAGGCTGTCTCTAAATTTGTGTCATGCAGAACTGCACAGACACCCTATGAAAAGTTCTTAAAGGGGGAGCCAACCCCAAAATGTCCTTTACGATATGATCTATACAGCCCTACTCGTCCAAACACAGCATTGCGATCAATATTGCGTTTCGCGGCAAAATCCACCTGTTATTAGCCGGCTCAGCGGGCGACCATTTTGCGACTTTGTGTCAACTGAAAATGACATCAGAGTTGCTCGGGGGCTCTGGTATCGACCAATCCTGGCTCACCTGACGTCTGTAGCTGAGCCATCGGTCATTACCGGACCCCTTGAGCAACTGTGATGTCATTTTCAGTCGATAGCCAGCGGCAAAATGGCCGCTCCCTTTCAAAGCGTTTTCGGATTCCTTGCACGTGCAACTTACTTGTTGTGCAAGTTTATACAGCATGCGTGCGCTGACTGCTGTAGTGTGAGTGCGGAGGATATTCTTCTGGGCCTCCTCAATCTTCCAGTCGCATTTGTACCTGAGGGGGCAGCACAGCAAGAGTTCTCCGTGGGGACACAACTATATATATATTTTTTAATTCATTTTCTTGACAGAAAACATTTACACATGGCATGCATACGTTTTCAATCATTTAAGATGGTTTCTGTGACTCGGGAAAGTTTTGCAAACCCTTATTTGGCTAACGGAATACTGAAGACTAAAATGTTTATCTTACTGACGTCACGTGCGATTATCTCACCCTTGCGAACCAAAGCCGCCCTCCGAGTGGACCCTCTTCACTCTCTCCAAGTAGTCCTGCGGTAACTCAAGGGCGAGAGCAGGATCTGAAAGTTCGGGAGTACAAAGGAGCCTTGATGCAAAAAGAAGTGTGAAAGTTGACTGCGGGAGAAATATCCGAAACGCGGGGTCTCACCGGACAGGAAGAAGGTGTCGTGCTGGTCTCGGGCCGGGTGCTGCTGCGGCTGAAAAAGGGAGTCAAAGTTCCAGAAAGAGCTCTCGATGAAGTTGTTGGTTGGCATCTCGGTGAAACTGAAGACAAAAGGTGTACGACATGTCAGCGTTTGAGATGTCTCTCAGATTCACTTAACTCATTCAATCCCAATAACGTGTCAATACGTCTTGTTTTTAAGGGGGGGTGGGCAATACTCCACCATGACTCGGGAGAGGAATTGATGAACGTATCAGGGACGCTTTTGTCCGCACACAAGTAACAAGTGGCCATCAAAAGAGGCTCCGTGTGCACGAACACATCGTTTGCCTCACGCAAAAGCCACACCGCAGCGAAGGCGCCTATGTGAAAGTGAAATCTAGAATGCGGAACTCACCCCATTTCCAAGAAGATCTGTCTGAACTGCGTTCGCACCTTCATCAGCGGATGCAGGTGGCCGCAGTCCGGGGCCACACCCATCGCATCAAAGTTGTACGGTTTGAAATTCTTCTCTTTCCAACTGCCGCTGCGATGCGATAATAGGCATCAGGTTAGAAATTGGCCAATCGTCGACACGTTAGCATCTGCTTTGAGGAACCAAAATACTCAGTCCGTCGTTTTTATTACAACTCGGTCAGAAACATTTGGCACAATTTTACGACAATGTATCCTTGTGGGAGTCGTTTGCAGGTGTGTAGCAAATGACCAAAACTATTTTTGTTTTCACGAAAGGTAGTAGTGAATTGAGCAACCCTTTTGCGCATGCTACTGTAGTGTTGTTGCATATGCCGCTTAATTTAGACCGCTGATTTATGAACAGACTAAATCCATCAAACTCATTTTAGCCTTCGTGGCTTTTGAAGCGCTCTGCCTTTCAGACAAAGCCGCCATCTTTGGAAGAGGCGTTCATTTCTCCGCGTCCTCTGTCGGAAACTGATGGACAGACAAGACAAAAACTAAAGTTTTGCTCCGAACAGAATCCCGACTTACGTGGCAATCATGTCAGGTGTGAGCTCCGTCTCCTGTTTGGTGATGGTGGTGCTGAAGGAGTTGCCTTTCGTGATCCAGTAGGACTTCACTGTCCTGAACACACGGACACAACCAAATCTATTTCGTCTCAACTCACAACTTAGAGTTGAGTTGTGATACGCACTTGAGTGGACAAAAACACATTTATCCTATTACAACTTCTTTTTTTAAATATTTCATATGTGACATTTAAAACATGTCATTACAACAGAGGTTCTCTTCAAGAGCAAAAAACATGAAGGGCAAGTCAAAACCATGACAAATTAAAAAGTCAATCAGCACCAACTGTATCCTCATGCAGACTTGTCTTCCACGGGCACACGAAAATAATCCATCAACAACTTACACCTCAGTGAGAAGTTTTCGCTTTTTCAGCTCATTCTTTTCTTTCTCGTCCAAGTTGGAAGAGATGCCTTTCTGGACAAGCAGCAGCTTTTCTCTAACCTGGTCCTCGATGTTCTCTACCTGTGGACCAAAAAAAAAAACAAATTAAGACATCTTGCCAGACAGATGAGTGTCAAACATGAAAAAAGGTGCTGTACACAATTATATTCCCTGTAAAAGACGTACATACAGTTTGGAATATCCTCGGCCCGCCTTCATGCCCTTTGTCCAAACGGATCCACTTGTTGGACATGGCCTTGCTGAAGCCAATCTTTCCAAAGGACAATTTCTACAAGCATAGAAAGAAAAAAATGTTCAGGCTCGGAAATATCACTGTACATAAGCTAACTTTTCAACCACGGACTATTTAAAGGGGAACTCAAGTCAACATCTTTTCTTTGCGGTAATATATCAATATTGCATTCATAGAAGAAGAATTAAATGGATTAATCCGCCCGTTTTCTGCCATCTCACGAGGCTGACATTTGATGCAGAAAGCACCTCCTGCCGTCAGCTGAAATTGACATCAAAGTACCTTCAGGCATGCATTACGAACATCACGGCCCACCTGGTTTCTGCATATGGTCACTTAACGTTCGCGGTTCAAGCCCAAGGGTACTTTTAAAGCTATTTCAGTCGGCGGCAGAGTGCGGTGCTGCATAAAATGTCAGCCCCCTTAGACGGCTGGCAACAGGCGGATTCATCGTCTTAATTCTTATTCCGCAAACACAATATTAATCAGTATACAGAGTTTAGATTAGTGGGAGCACATAGAATGTAATATTGGAAAGTTTTTTTTCCCCTTGAGTTCCCCTTTGAGAAAATAAATAAGCAATTCTAAGAGTAAACCTCTGTCAGCCTTACCATGAGGTCACTTTGGGTCAGACCCTCCAGCGGGACGGCGTTGAAGACCCGAGCTTCCTGGCTGCCTTGCTCAGCGATCTCCTTGCCCTCCTCTGTCAGTTCCCAGTGTTTGGAGGAGCGGAGCTCAGCTGAGATTATCTGAGGGCCAGACAACATAAAATCTATTTTTTTCTAATTCATTGGGAGATTTCGGTTAAGTAGCAGGGGTCGTCGCAGCCAATCATCCTCTTCTATTACTCCCTGTCTTCTGCTCCAACTCCAGCAAGTGATGGTTTCTGCAAGTCTTTCCTCCCCATATCCATCCCCTCTTCGGTATTCCCCTTTTCTTACAACCTGGCAGCGCCATTTCCAGCACCCTTGTTCCACTACCACTACCACTGCACAGGTTGAAATCATCTCAAACAGGCTTCTCTAGCTTTGTGTAAAGCATTCGGACGGTAGCATTAGAATAGATATCATTAGACCATCAAGATGCAAGAATGTTGACAGGACGTGATGTTCCTCTTGAGAGGGCGAACAGGTGCTGGGTTAAAATGCATGCAAGTTTGGATTATAATTCGCCTTTTAGTCTCAGGATTACAATTTTATTCTCGCTTTCTCATTGCTGCTGCTGCGACTACTACTACTACTACTACCACTACTACGATGAAGTGTTAAAAAAAGAGTGCATTTACAATAAAATGGTTAGGTCCATGTATACTTTCTTTAAGGTAGTATAAAAATATAAACCGTATTACACAGAGCACATGAAACTAGTCTGACAACTCTCGCATCTCTCGTCTTTACCCTCATTGCATCAGTCACATTGCAAATGTTGACGTGACAGCCTAACTTCCGCTACGATTCAAACCACGAAAACTCACTTCGCCGAGTGACTGCAGACTCTTCACGGCGCCCACGATGACCTGGTGGTCCACTCCGAGGCTGCAAGCCACATTTAGGCTTTCCACGCCGTCTTGCGCCTTTTCAATACGCTGAAGTAGCGTCTCCACCACACGCGCGTCCGCCATAGCCGGTCGCCACTGAGCTCTAAAGGAACCGGAAATGACGCCACAACCAGTACAGTATATGTTGGGAGCTTTTCATTTTTTATCTACCCTCCCACATTGTAAAGTGATGACCTTGCAATATATTTTGTAATCTGTTTAATTTATAAAGTTAGAGGAAATTAAGTAGATCGTAGACGAGTAAACAAATAATTGAAAATGGGTTTTTTTGGGATGGGGGGGCTATCACTGGTTAAACGGAAAGTTGAATCATCTAGAATCATTCTGTAGTTAACACTAAAAGCGGTGTTGTGTGAGTGTGTGTGTATACATGTATACACACACACACACACACTTAATGTCTGGCGTTCAGACTAGTGGATTGTATTAGACTTCAAAAAACAAAGCTCGTCGATAAGCATTTGTATTTATTTTTGACATTTGTTTGAGTGGCCTTAAATTAGCAGTGATCTTGCGAATTACCTATCAAGGTTCACAATTTACAACTGACTTTTTTTTCTCAAGACCTACTTTACAATAATCTTTGTAAATCCCACCAAAAGTGGTTATATCAAAACTTGACATAAACGTTCTTAACAACCATTTTTTCAATACAAAGACCCAGTTACATACATTGACAAGAAAAAATATCCACAAAATCAAAAGCGACTTAAAGCACAAACGTGTGTATTTTCCATCAAATTCCTAGTAAAATATAACACTAGTAACATTACTTAAAAAAGGCAAAAAATAAAAGCAAAGGTATCTACAAGTTTGGGTAAGTTACATGCAAAGTTGTCATGGAACATAAAAGCAAAGTTTGCGCCACACGTGAGCGCTGTAGCATGAAATTTCTCTCAGTGGTTTTATAAATTAAAAAAAAAAAAAAAAAAAAAAAAAAAGACAGTCTTGAGATTATCAACCCTTTGAAACAGACCACCAAACATAGCTACAACACAGGCTGAACATATGCACATAGTCAACATAGAGGAAGGAGAAACTTGAGCAAAGGTGAGCCATCAATCAATCACATTCTTCGGAGGAGGTTAGAGGTAAAGATGCAGCGGATGATGGCGGGCTGATGTTTCACACGAGTAACTCAGTCTTATCTATACTGGTAATTTCCGCTGGAATCTCCCTTGTAGCTTCCAGGATTGTGGTAGGTGTTGAAACCATGGTTTTCTCCGGCACCCTGCGAGTTGTAATTGGACTGGCTGTTGAAGCCTTCCCAGGGAAAAGCGCAACAGGTCAACTTAAATGCAAAAAAAAAAAAAAGTGTTGGTTATTTATTTTACTCACCATCATAACTGTAATCCTGGTTTCCTCCAGCACCACCAGTCACCTGACTCGGGTAGGCGGTGCTGTAAGAGTATCCACTTGCACCTCCCTGGTGAAAATTTTTCTTTGCCTGACCATAGCCCTGGCCATATTGGTTATAGTTGCCGTGTCCGGAAGCATTGCTGGCCTGGTAGCTCCCTGAAGATGCACTGTTCGTACCCGAGACACCCTGAAACGATGACTTCCCGCCCCTTGTTGGGGGTTTCTTTTTGGGCATTTTAGCAGCAGTGTTGGTATTATATGCTCCATCACCATCATAGTATGAGCCATATGAGCTTTGTGCCGATCCCAGAGCTGAACTGGCCAGAGAACCGCATGAAGGGCCGCCTGACAGCCCGCCACCTGCATTTGCACCACCATTGTTGTAGTAATCTGAGAAATAACAGCACGGCAAAGTTTTTAAACATGCAGCTGGCAACATACAGAAATTAAATCACACCATGTAAGAATACAGAAATGAAGGACAAAAACATATTTATTTAAAAAAAACATGTATATAGTGGAATTTGGTATCTGGAAACATTCATGGTAAAACCACTCTTGCAAAAGGAACATCGTGGATTCAGTACACTCATGACTTAACTGTCCTAGAAAGACCACATTTATATCTCATTTCAAGTGTTATCGTTGTGGATGTCAGAAATGAACGTGCACTATTTAAAACTGTTCTTTTGTGTTGTGGAGTCAGCAATAGGGAAACAGAAATTAAAGGCTGTCAGTGCCTTAAAGGAAACGTGTTGTTCATCTCCCACAGTGCTAGCCTGTATTATGAAGCCCTTTGTCCAATCACACACACACAAAAAAAGGGGGGCAGGGGCATCTTCTAAAATAAATCCACCATGTAGACATCCAGGTGTCTGATACATCCATGCAAGCATGTATGCAGAGGCAGCTCATCTTGCCCAGGCTGCAAGTGGCCTGGCAAAATAGGGTTATCGTTGTTACAATTCCAGGGTTGCGGTCGTGGAGTTGAAGGGAGTTTCTGGATGCAGCCGGAGGGAACACAACTGAATTTTTATCTTCTCTACTATATTTTTGCTTTTTTTGTTTGTTTGTTTTTTTTTTTACTGAGGAGGATCTATTTCTGAAAATCTTGGTAGCCATAGATGTCTGAGACAAAGTCACCTAAAGAGCGAGACAAGGCAGAGAAGGGGGGAAATATCAAAATTAGTTTTGCATATTGGGAATTTGCTCTGCCTCAAAAGCAGCAGTCAATTGGATTCATTGGACCAAATTGCATTCAAAGTGACTGATTGCAGTTTTTTTTTTTCAAGATTTCCCTCCTCCTGTCACTCTCAGGAAGGCCAGTCCACAGAACGAGCTGCCAAAAATGAGAGGGGTTGGGGGGGGGGGAAGCAGGCGGTCTGTTTTTTTTCCGGGGGTAGGGGGGTTTCCAAATATGACTGAGATTAAGACCCGTGGCTTGAAACTTTAAAATCCAAAAAAACACTGCATTTGGAATTCTCCAAAAAAGATTTCTGCTGCTTAATTTGGATGAATGTGACAGCAGCACACAGTAGTGTGCTCCCACGCAGGCTGACACTTTGATTTCTCACATGGTAACAGTGACAATTAAAAAAAAAGAAAAGAAAAAGACAGGAACATAAGATAGGAATACTTACTGTATCCAGACATGGAGTTGCTGCCATAACCATATGTCCCGAAGCCTGTTGAATAACAGATCATGAGTCAATTTGGTCCAATGAGGGAGGGAAAATAAGATTTATTATTAATATAAAAATAATAAAAATAATTAAAAAAAAATATGTTAATTACCTCCGCCACAGCCCCCTCCATTATTGTACCCCCTGCCCCTTCCACGACCTCTTCCTCTCCCTCTGGCCCTGGGCATAGCGACATCGCCAGGAGGTCCCATCATGCCATAGCCTTCGTTGTTCTGAGTGAGAAATCATGAACAAGATTTCAATTTGCACCGATGGCGAAAGAGTGCGACAAGGACCGAGATCAACATTCTTTTTCTCCGAGTGCTTACCATTGAAGGTGCCTTTTTCTTTTTAGCCACTTCGGTCACAGAGCCCTCGGGAAAGAGCTGCTCCAAAGCCGCCAGTGCTGCGTAAGCCTTGGCCACTTTCTTGTTGGATCCAGTCCCCTCGAACTTCTGCCCATCGATCTCGACCTCCATGACGAAGCGCTTGTCATGGCTGCCGCCAGTCTCCGAGATGAGCTCGTATTTTAGGCCGCGGCGCTTCTCGTTCAGCTCCATCACTGGGTTCTTGCCGTGTTTGGTTAGGATCGGTCCCTGTTGGCGGGTGGTCTGAAATGAAAAGGATGGGGTCATTTGGTGAGAACAGAACGTGCATGTTAATTACTGCTTCATGCAAAGAGATAAATAAATAAATACATAAATAAATCGGGGGATGGAAATATGTGTGTGTGTGTGTGTGTGTGTGTGTGTGTGAGAACTGTTTGCGCTATGCCAAACCGCACACAGCACGCTCAATGAGGAGGGAATGGTATAGCATGTAACTGGGATTGGTTGTTGTAGTATGGGAGCCTTTTTAGGAGTCCCAAAATGATTACGGACTCATCAGCCACGACACAGATACTTCTGCATCACCACATTTGTGCATGAGGTCTTTACCTCCGCAGCATCAGTGGAATCTGTGCTGACTGGTCCTGTGAGCACAGGAGCAACTTCAGCGGCTGTTATTACTGGTTTCACATCTGGCACTGTGACGGGAACTGGGGTTTCTTCAGTTTTCACAGGCTCTGGAGTTTTGATTTCCACTCCCGTGGGTAAACCCATGTCTTGCAGCGCCTAAAGTAGACAAAAAACAGGCAGTGCACTTTAAAACAAACAAAAAACTTGAAAAAGAAAAAAAGAATTCAGTGGGGCTTGAAGCGGCACTTTCCATTTTTCACATTTAAAATAGTCATAGATGGAATTTCCTGGTGTAAACAATTTGCAAACAAGTGATTTTTTTCCCTCCCCAAACAGTAACATGATTCATGAAAAGCTCATGTCAATTTACCCTAAAACAAACATGCCCCGAGCCAACTCACCTTGACGGCCACATGCAGCTTGGCGGTCCGTTTGGACGGACCCGAAGCCTCAAAAGTCTTGCCATCAACTTCTACAGCCATAGTGAAGACGGGCACATGAACTGGGCCGGTCTGGGATATCAGCTTGTAATGGAGACCCGGCTTCAGCTGGTTGAGTCGCATCAACGCATTCATAGCCTGGGGTGGATCGGACTTATCCTCTGCAGCTGGTGGGCATAAGTGCAATGACAGATTTCTTATAAAACATGACTGTAAAGACTCAAGTGACAGCATGTTGAAAAGTTCATACAAGGAGAATACCGACATGTAGTTTGATTCAAATCGACTCATGATTGCAAAATAAAGTCCTAGAAAACTTACACGACATCACGGAGATGTAGTCAAGGCCACTTACATTTCTTTTGCAGTTTTTTCTTTTTCTTATTGGGACTCTTGTCTTCAATTCCCTCCTCTTCCTCAATGGGCCGTTTCATCGGCGGGGCGTATGCGGAACTGGGTGGGATTTGCACTGCTCACATAATTGTGGAGGTGTGAGGGGGTGGGATCGACATGGTATTGCACTCGTATTACAAAACGAACAAAAGAATCCTCTTACTCTTGGGCATTTAGATTGTTTACCGATATAATCGATTGGAGGTCCCGGAGTTTTCTTGGGTATCTTGGAGGGAAGCGGATCCATTCCAAGCACTTTGTGAAGCTGTCCAAAGGCCGACAGCCTTAAGGCATGCTAACAACACAAAAAGAAACGTCAACTCTTCCGTGTGGCGAAGATGCTCGTCCCGCAGGGCAATCGACTTACTTGTGCACTTAACGTGATGTCTTCTCTCTGCTGGGAGTTCAAGTGACATATCGCATCTGTGGGCTCCTTCTCACAAGGATCGGCGATTCCAGCTCCATCTGCAGGACAAGAGAAACCGTATGGAACCGCCTTTGCCGTATTGAAAACAAGCTAAGTGGGACAATTGGGTTGAGTCAACACAAACGTACCTGGCATCAGGATTCCTGAAGCCAGACATTCTAAGACTCTACGCATTGCTTCTCCTGCCATCATGGGCCGGTTTCCTGTACCAATGGCTTTCTCGCAGATCAACTCGAGCGGCTACAAATCATAGGAGAGGACCGTTTTTTACACAGCTCAATTAAACATATCTAGTAACATCATACTTGTAAAAAAAAAAAAAAACCTGTCACACCGCTCAGAATCAGCCTCAAACTAATCCTAAAGCGCATTACAGGGAAACCCATTTGATTTACAAAAACCGCCTTCAATGTAATGCCACAACTTGCACGGGAACACAAGAGTACAACAAATGGAGAACACCACTCACCCAGCCACTGAGTGGAGTCCACTTTGGGATGCGGGCACACAAGTCCCTTAGAACCCGAATGACGATAACACAGGAGCGCAATCCGTTGGCTCTGGCCTGAGAACACAATAGAGTGGGGGCGGGGGGTGACAAGCAAATTGAGTCAAATGGGAGTGATGACAGATGGAATAAAATAAAGTCATTTTATATATATTGAAATTAGGTTTTAAAATGAAGCCGCACAGGCTATGACACCTCGGCGTATTCATTGTAGAAATATTTTAAGGCAAAGTGAAAACCAAGTAGAAATGACCCAGACTCGGGTTTGAGTGAGAAGTCAACTGACAATGGGATTAAGAGCACTGTGACCCAAGCATAAAACGTTCAAATCATGATCACGCGTCAACAAACATGGCTTCAACAACATAAAAAAAAAAAAAAAATCCAAGCTTTCAATGAGACCGCCAAGTAAACCGCTTTAATGGAAAGTTTGCGTGTTGTCATTTGGGTCATGTAATCATCAGTGGAAGTCGGTGGGGAAAACACACACACAAAAACACACGCACACACACTAGAACACTACTCAAGGTGCAATATTCCTCCTGATGGATTTGTAGCAGACTGCAACATAAACAGAGCAGGGGAAGATGAGGCTACAAAGGCTGCAGTAATGAAGCGCTGATTTGTTAAAATAACCAAAAGACTCGACAATAGCATCATCTACACTCAACCAACAAACACTTTCGACAAATTTTCCGTTGCATACATTTCCTGTATGCAAACATTTCTTTCTCTCCGTTTGATCGGTCCACGTGGCAAGTGAGACATCAAATTGCAGATTTAAAAAGGTTTTGGCACAGAAGTGCATTTGTGCTTTTTTACCAGCAATGAAAAATGCTTATTAACGCGAATTAAGAGAAATGAGACATATTCAAGATACTTAAACATGCAAATTGCATGTTTGAAATATTACATATTGTGTGTGTGTGTATATGTGTGTGTATATATATATATATATATA